GTTGTTGTTATGTGCCGTCGAGTCGGCCCCGACTCATAGCGACCCCTCCTTGGGTTTCCGAGGCAGTATCACTACGGAAGTAGGATTGCCCAACCAAAAACCTAGACTTCTTTTTATTCCTTGTACCTTTGGTTTCTAGCAGCTATTTCCCTGTTTTCTTTCAATCCATTGTATCTAATTGCTGAGTCTTTCAGTGGCTCCCCTTTGCCTTTTAAAGTTTAAATCTTTAATGTGTCATTTAAGTAAGTTATTTTGGAATCAGGTCCCAACTCACTGTTGTAGCCTCATCTTTTCCCTCTTCCCCTGTATTTTAGGATCTATCTTGTACCTTGCCTGGCCCTTTCCACATGTCATTCCTTCTTTGTGAAATACCCTTGCCCATTCATCTCCTGTCACCACATTTTCTACTCATTCACTAAATTTCAGCTTAAAGGTCCTTCCTATGGAAAGCTTTCTGTGTTAATGCTCTCGGCCACAAGTTTGAATTAGGTTCCTCTCCTGTTTATTCCCATGGAACTTTATACTCATAGTTACTTCATTTTACTTTCCTGTATCCTCCACTGACTAGAAACTCTTTGAGGGCAGGACTTGTGTTTTGTCCACTGTCATTAGGTGCTTAGCATGTAATTGTTGAGTAGGCTTACTGATCACTTTACTTTACTGGGATCTCTTCCTCTTGTCCTGACTGGGTTTTTTCCTCTGTACTCATGATAAAAGGGGTATTAGTTAAAATTGGTCTTTTGTTTTCCTCTTGATCTGACAATCTTCACCTCTCTTCTGCCCTTACACAACTAGTAGCATGTTCCTAGATAAAAAGAGATTTTCTTTCTTGACTCAGATATTTGAGGGCGAGTTATTTTGTTTATTTAATTATACTGAGTCATCTGTAAGATTTTGTTGTATCCTAATTAATGTCACAGATTCTGGAATCAAGCTGCATAAGTTTGAATCATTGTTCTATCTCATACTAGCTATGTGACCATTAGCAACTTACTTGACATATCTGTTCCTAATTTGCCTCATCAATAGGTTTCTACAAACCTAAAGTGATGGTTGCAAGGATTAAAGGAAATAATCACTGTAAAATGCATAGTACAATGCTTGTCTCAATAAATATTAGCTATTATTATTAATTATAAAACTTCATACAGTGGCATCAACAGTACATTTTTTCTTTCCTATCTTCATTTGTTTTAGAAATTGAGTTAGTTGAACACTAACGTTAGTTGACACAATATTGTACTTCCTGTTTTATGAACTGTTATTAATCCTGTTCTCTTTTTTTACTTCCTATAGGTCTGGCTAGTTTCTGCGGTGCAGTTTTTCGTAAATACCCTATTGATCTTGCTGGTCTTCTTCAATATGTTGCCAATCAGCTAAAGGCAGGCAAAAGGTATTCGTAGTAAACTATCCATAAATACAATTCACTAATTAAACTACATCTAGTGGTATTGGGAGATTAAGGTTGCTGTTATGCTGAAAGGCTACTTGTTGGTTGATTGGAGGCTGAAGCATAGAATAGTTGCTGACTTATTTATATGGAATTTTTTAATAAAAAAATCATAATTTAATATAGACTCTGCTAAAACACACTTACACACTTTTTTGACAGAAAAATTATTATTTGGGTATATCTGTAATTCATTAGAAAGACATTTTAACTCACTTTGACTATCTGGTAGGCTTTTGAGTAAATTGTTGTTGTTGTTGTCGTGTGCCGTTGAGTCAGACCTGACTCATAGCGACCCTTGCTTGGGTTTCCGAGGCAGTATTACTATGGAAGTAGATTGCCCAACCTTCCTTCTGAGGAGTTGCTGGTCGATTTGAACCGGCAGCCAAATAGGCAATCCTTTTTAGTAGGAATATTGTACATCCTCTTATGACAGAAAATACTGCATTACTGATTATATTCCTGGACAGTGATTGATCTTTAAATTAAGTATTTGGTAGGAAAATGTTTATTATAAATTTTGAGAGTATATTTATATCTGTAAAACAGTTAATTTTTGAATTTGAACTGTAGGAATATGTATGACTTGTATACCTTTTAGGTAACATCCTCTTTTCTTATAAATACTCGATTTTTAAATTTTATTCTGGACCAGCATCAGTAGTCAGTTTTTGAATCAGTATATATATTAAATTTCATGAACAACATAGACTGATAAGAATCAAAGAACTGGAGATTATTAAAAAAGCTTTCTGGTAAAAAACAGCTATCTGGTGTTCTCAGCAAGTACGTAATTTTTTTTCTTACACTTTTAAAGCATGTAATTCTTGACAGATGCTTATTTTAGCTTAGGGAAAACTTAAAAATGAATATTATACTCAGAATTTTATCAGCAATTCACTTATGCTATGCTTATCTGTTGGCCATTCTTACACATTTTACTCTTCTCTGTGTATAGGCATTACTTTTGAATTTATAACTCAGTCTCTGTGTACCATGAATATAGTTTTTATGGTCATCTAATTAAAGGATAGTTTAAAGGAAAATTTAAAAAGTTAATGGGTACTTGCACACTAATTTAGATGAGGCACCTATTGTTTTCAGAAACTCTCTTTAGGAAAGGCAAGTAGAGTTGAGGCAGCAAGGACTGAACAGAATCTTAAAAAAACTGTTTCTTTGTCTATTACCTTGAGTCTTGAGTGTATCTAGTTTTAACTTTGAAAAAATACTGTATTTGCTTTGAAGGAAGGAGTGTTTTTACTTTATCTTCAGTATTTAACTTATTAAAGAAGATCTTAGAAGTCATATGGTGTTCATTCCGTAGACAGTCCTATACTCTGAGAATTAAGATGCATGATTGTTGGCACATTACTAAAATGTACTGTGTTAGACTGAGTTCTTTAGAGAAGCAAAACCAGTAAAGCTTATATAGAGCAAGAGAAAGAAAGAGAAATTTATATTAGGAAAATGGCTCATACACTTACAGAAATTGGCAAGTCCCAAGTTCTTGGATCAAACGTCAAGCTGGAGGCTTTTCCTGACTCGTGCTCCTGCAGGGGCTGACGAGCTCAAGGTTGACAGGCAGTATACTGGCTGTTGACTCCAACAAATGAAAATCCAAGGTCTCCAGGCTGAATGGTGGATTGTTTGCTCACGGACAGTTGTAGGAAGCACAAGAGAATCCTGATCCACAGAAGAGTGTCTCTTTTCCCAGGATGTCCATAAATACACTGGAAGCAGGCCATACCCCTAGGGAAACTCCCTTTCAACGGATTGGCTGCTCAAAACATATACATCTGATCCCGTCATTGGAACAACCCACATCACAATTGCTTAAACCACACAGAATTGTGGCCCGGCCAAGTTGACACTCAGCTCCAACTATCACGGTCCACTCCTAGTCACGTTGGCAGTTGTACACATCTTCCTAACCATATATAATCTCTGAATGAGGACAATTATAAGGGCATATTTGCACCTAACATGATTGCTAAAACACTTACAGCTGAAACACATTAACCTTATTTACATTTCACAGTTCTTAACAGAAGGAAACAAAAATGTTTGATGCACATATACCATGAAGAAATACAACAATCACAGTCCTCGTTTCTGCAACTGGTCACATAGTCATAGCTGATACTCAGAACTACCTTCTTCCACCACCCATTCTGTATTTCCCTTGCCCTCAGCAAGCACCTCAGCTGGTCGTGGTTCTTTGCCTGGTGGGGTGACCCAAACCTTCATTTTTGAAGGGTCTCAGCCATTAGTAGTCATATCAGAATTGGGTTGCTGTAATTTTCCATTGACTTTAATCACAGGGAATGGTAGTACTAAGAGATGTCCTAAAGAATCTCCTGTATTCCAGACATATTCTTCTTTACCTCTATTATGTAATGTCAATCCAGTTTCTCCATTGGTAATCAGGATCTGTCACACTAGATAGTACAGTGATGTCCTCCTTTGTCTGTTGATCCAGAGGCACGAGGAAGCCAAAATTTCTGGGTGGCATTCTTAATTTCCAGTTCAATGCAATCAATATCGTGTCTCCAGGTGGGAGTGTTCCTCCCTTTGGGACTAAGATCTCTAGACCCGCAGAGCATAGGGTAGTAGGTACAGGAAGCAAAAATTTTTTGAGTGGGTCACTAGGGGTAATAGTGATACCACTCCCGTTTCCACTCGTTGGTTCCTAGACCTGTGAATCCTGGTTATTGGACGTTGGTTTAGAGCATATACTGCCTCCTGGAGAACATTTCCCCAACACTTAAAGGTATTGCCACCTAGCTGGTGCCGTAATTGTGTTTTCATTAGGCCATTCCATCGTTCGATCAAGCCAGCTGTTTCTGGATGATGGGGAACATGGTAAGACCAATGAATTCCTTAAGCATAGGCCCATTGTTGCACTTCATTTGCTGTGAAGTGAGTCCCTTGATCTGAAGCAATGCTGTGTGGGATACCGTGATGGTGGATA